TTTTCGGCCCAAAACGCCTTACTATACATGGTTGGGTTTTTTTTTTGGGCCCAAAACGCTTTACTATACATGGTCGTTTTTTTTTTTTGGGCCCAAAATGCTTTGGTTGTCAGAAAAAGCCTTCCAAAAAATGCAAACTCTGCAGACGATGGCCAAGACCTGGATTTGAACCCTGCACCTCTGCACTGTAACGCCAACACACTAACCAGTCAACCACGGTGGCGTTGCTGAGTTCATCAGGACCAACCCAAAAAGGTCTTCATGTACATAGTCGTACAAAAGCTTTCCATGCAAACTTCCCAGAGGAAGCCAGAGAGCTGGATTGGGCGAAAAATGCCTTACAACAGATGGTCGTTTGTTTCGGCAAAAAAAACGCCTGACTATACATGGTCGTTTTTTTCGACCCAAAACGCCTTACTATACATGGTCGTTTTTTTCAGCCAAAAACACCTTACTATAAATGGTCATTTTTTACAGCAAAAACCGCCTTACTATACATGGTCGTTTTTTTCAGCCAAAAACACCTTACTATAAATGGTCATTTTTTACAGCAAAAACCGCCTTACTATACATGGTCGTTTTTTTTTGGCCCAAAACGCCTTACTTTACATGGTCGTTTTTTTCGGCCCAAAACGGCTTACTATACATGGTCGTTTTTTTCAGTCCGAAACGCCTTACTATGAATGGAAGGGGTTTTTTTGGCCCAAAACACCTTACTATACATGGTCGGTTTTTTCGGCCCAAAATGCCTTACTATACATGGTCCTTTTTTTTTGGCCAAAAACGCCTTACTCTACATGATCGTTTTTTTCGGCTAAAAACGCCTTACAATACATGTTAGTTTTTTTGTGGGGGGCTAAAAACACCTTACTATACATTGTCGTTTTTTTGGGGGCTAAAAACGCTTACTATACATGGCCGTTTTTTGGGGGCTAAAAACGCCTTACTATAAATGGTCGTTTTTTTTCAGTTAAAAACGCCTTACTATACATGGTTGTTTTTTTTTTGGGCTAAAAACACCTGACTCTACATGGTTGGGGGTTTTTTTGGTTAAAAACGCCTTACAATATACATGGTCGTTTTTTGGGGGGGCTAAAAACACCTTACTATATATGGTCGTTTTTTTCGGTTAAAAACGCCTTGGCATACATGGTCATTCTTTGGGGGGTATTGTTTTATTTTAACTGTTTTGTTAAGTGCTTTGTTACAGCTGCAGCTGTTGTGAAAGCGCTATATAGATCAGGATGTATTGTCTTGCATTGTAATTTGAAATTACTTTCATGTGTCATTCACCGCTTCCAAGGTATGCTGGAGTTCAAACTGTCATGCACTGTACAGTATTGTTTGAGCAGCACAGACCAGAGAAATTTATTTTGAGTTCATTTTGAAAAGGAAGCTTTTTCAAGTAACCCAAACAATTTGTTGTTTTTCAACTAATCACAGCGGTGACTTTTTTTTTTTTTGGGGTAGTCAATTCCCCTGATAGCAAGCCTTGTCCTTTGGAGTTTCTTTTTGAACTTTGAAAAGCACATCTGAGAAAGATGGCATCACCTAAAAAGCACACTTCCTCTTCCTGTCTCCAAATAAACAAACAGGGCGCCTCATTAGCAGCGAGATTTCCATCTTTTACGCTCTCATCTTCCCATTTTGACGTCTCAGATTTTTTCCGCCCCCCCGACCGCAGATAAACTTGCCTGTCTGGATGCAATTGATTAGCTCGATCCCCGGCTCAGATATACGCCCTCACCCAACAACCGATGTCTGCGGTTTTTGACTCCAATGTTTTAAGCAGATCTGGAGTGTGACAGAAGGAAGCCCCCAATTTATGAATTCCATCCGATTTAGAAAGATCGGGGGTCTCAGATCACTCACCATTTAAACTGCTATCATGCATGATGTCATTCGACCTAATTTCAGCACTCGTCAATGATTAGTTCTATGTGTTTTGCTTTTTCTTTGGCTTTTTGGTGGCCACTTTCCAAAAGGAGCATCCTATTGAGTGTTTATCATATGGATGAATTACTATCCATTGTTTCATATGCATAAAAAAAAACCCAGAACAACTCTCCAGTATGTGATGGATGGATTCTGGAATGCACCAGGGCTCCTAACTAGTCCCATCCCCGCTCTTGAGAGACTCCGTGTGGTAGTGTTAAGAGAAGACAAACAAGCTCCAACTAGCCAACTCAGTCAGAACGCTGCCGCAAAGCTTTTGTCCAAATCTCACAAGTTCAGCCACATGACTTCAATTCTGTCGTCCTTGCATTGGCCCCTTACTGATTTTAGGATTCAGTCCAATGCTTTCAATCACGTCAAGAGTCCTCGATAGTCAGGCACCTATTGGTGGATTGGGTGTCATATTTTTTTGGTCCGATTATGTCACTTTGGTCTGCTGACCGCCATTTATTTTTAGATTAAACGCTAAACATGATAGAGCATTGCAGTCTGCTCCCCACAAATTGTGGAATGCGCTTCTTCTTCAGCTATTAACTGCCATGTCTGTAGAAATATTTAAAAAGCAGTTTGTTGTTTCTTGTATAATGTTGGTGAGACTACTATATGGAGATCCTTCTTTTCAAGTGTTCAAGTTCCTCACAATATGTTACTATTTTCCATTACTTTAACTAAATGCGGCCTCGCAGCATGCAGAATTTAACGATTAACAGAACGCAGCCGAAATCCCTCCACCCTGAAATAGGTGAGCCGTCCGAAGGTTTATACAAGATGGCGGTTCCGAACTTCTTTCCATCCTCAACAGCTGCACGCCACGAGGAGAAACAAAGATGACCTCTGAGCAGCCACCACAGAAAATACGGAGCATCTCACGAGCGGGAGGAACAGGTGCAACCAGCATGCCGGTCCTCATTTTTTGAATCTGTGTGACAGAAGTTGCACTACCTGGCAGGGCAGAAAATTCTGCCAATTCAATGTCTGTGTTGTTTACACAAAACAGCGACATGTGGGAAAAATACGGCGGTTTCGTTGGGCTACGACCACATGACTCCACTCTAACAAAAACAATGAACGTAATGTTGCCTCAGACTTCGTTTCATTGTCGTCGTAATTTGACTTCTGACTGACTGCTTTATGCTTACACCGCATTTGTTTGAATGAATTTTGCAAAGTTGTTGTGAAGAAAACAGATACATTTATTGCTTGTTTTTGTTCAAGACAAATAGATGAGAACAGGACCTTAAAAAAAATTATGTTATGAACTCATTCACTCCCAAAGACGTTTTTAAACGTCTTTTCAGACTTGGTCCAGAATTGGCTGGTACTGACTGAGTTAAATAGCAAAAGCAATTGTGTGGTGTCACTATAAGACATCCAACCGAGAGAGTTGATCGTCTAATATGCATGTTAGCTGGACATCATCATCGCTGTGCGCCTCTCCAGGCCTTCAGGTAACATGAAAACACAAAGGCCACAACTCTCCCACTGAAGCAGGACGCTCAGCCGGTGCAAGGGGACGAGGAAACAAACCAAAAAAACGCTGGAAAGGAACTTTTTACTGCTCGGGGGGGCGAAAGTACAACTACGCCAAGGAAATCAAAGCGTCAAATTTCTCCTCGGAGGCCAATGAGGAGCGAGCGCAGGAACATGCTGCTGTGGGAAAGGGGACGAGGAAACAAACCAAAAAAACGCTGGAAAGGAACTTTTTACTGCTCGTGTGGATGGCGCTATAAACTAAATCAAGCGCACCCAAAAAGAGATATTTCTCATTTCAGCGCCTGTCAAAAGACAAGATGATTAATGAAGCAACAATTGCAACCCTTGCACCGCGCCGCCGCTCACATTCCTCACGGAAGGAATGTCCAAGCGCGGCACAAAAGCTCGTGACATTCACGATACGGACGACGGGGAGGGCTCGGGCTCAGTTGGCTTTCAGCTCTCGCCGCGGCCACGATAGTCGGACAGAGCAAAGGTTGCTCACCACGCCTTCAGTTTCACATCATCTCGGTTTATGTGGGGAAGTGCTGTTCCTCAGCGCTTCCCGCTTCTCGCAGTGATGTCAATGTAAGTTTCGGACGTGCACCCCCCCACCGTCCCCGCCCGAGCTGCACGCTCTGCAACATTTTAAGAAAGCAGAACGTTGCCTCGATTTGCTTTCAGCGGGAAAGCGCTACGTCTCTTCCCCGAGCCGAAATGAAAAAAAACCCTGGCTGATGTCATTCCAAGTTTTGTTTCAAACTTGGCCTGAGTGATGATGATGACTTGACCAGACAGAGCTTGTAAAGTCTGTGGGGAGACTTCTGTAGTTGACTTTTCAAGAAAAGGACTTCCAAGGTACTGCAGCATTTCCTGGAAAACGCTGCATATGGAGCTTTTGAACCAAAAAAAAAATCTTCAAGTGGAGGTCGAGTCAAAAATGTTGACAATAATAAGTTCTGTCTGTGTCTATTAGGCCAAACATGACATTCTGATTAGTGTTGAGTTTGTGGACTATGAATTGAGCATCTTTTGAGACAGACTCGACCATTTGCATTTCCAAATGAGAAACCAAAGTGGAAGATTACCAACCAAAATCACAAGCACAGCCCCAGGAGAGGACCAACCTAAATTGGAAGTGGAAGTCCAAATACTCATCTTTCATCTAAGAGCGTGCAGCAGCGTGAGGAAGACGGACCGGGTTAAAACTGACATGGCCCCAACTATTTACCTGGAGGAGGTCATCACTCAGCACCTCGGTCTTCTCGGCCCTGGGGAGCGAAAATGTGGACTTTGGGTTAAAACACATTAAACGTAAACAACAATACAAGACACGGCTCGAAATTATTATAAAGCGAGGAGAGTGATTTTAAAGCAACCTATTTTTTATTTCAGATTAATAAAAAAAATGCCAGCTGACATTTTGCGGTGTTTGTGTTGGCTCATCCCGCGGCGCATATTCGAGTTCAAGTGCGCAAGACTCGACTCGACGCAAACAAGCTGAAACTTGGTCGTCTAGCGCAACCTGTCTTTTGTGTACACAGCAGAATCCCGAGTCGCTGAGAAAGTCATCGCTGGCTTAACGTTTGACTTGTACTCCTAAAGTGCGCCGTCAAAAACTGCGTGTTTACTCGACAGAGCCACACACGCGCTCGGCAGAAACGCCTTCCTGTGAAGGAGCTGTCAGATTCCTCCGGCGTGTCCCAACACACACTTCCTGTTGTGTCGCCGGGTTTGTTATGGCAACGGGATATGATCGTGTGTGTGTATGTGTGTGTGCGCTGGAGTTTCGAGGTCTCAAAACGCTTCCATTCGTAACGACGACGTCATGCCTAAGCTTCCCTGGGGAATGTTCAACATTTCGGCTGAACGATGTGACGCAACACGATGACTCACAATCTTTACCTGACGCTTGAAGCGAATGTTAACATTAGCATCATCCGAACACAATGTATTTGTTTGACACTCCTCATACCGTCGTCATAATAAAGATGATGTCTCTTTAAGGCGTCGAGTAAAAAAAAAAAAAAGCATGATCTTTTCAAAGAGGGCTGCCCTGCTAAAGCCGTTGCCCCCGTGACCCAAGCACGGCGAAGCGGTAGAGAATGGATGGATGGATTTTGTTCAGTTATTCTCTTCAGATTGTGCAAGTGTACCTAATGTTGTGACCCGTGAGCGAATCAAGTCCTCAGTCTGCGCCCTGAGTGGCGTCTCACAGGGATCAATTAACCTCCTCACATGGAAGTTATTGCTCCTGTCAGATTCGAAATGAAGACTTCGCAAGTTGTATGTACAGTACATCTTTGCTGAGCTAAGAACTGAAACGTTGGTCACACGCTCGCAAACGGCAAACCTCGTACAAGTGCGGAACGCCTTCTTTGCATTTTTTTTTTTTAACTGTGCACAGTTAAATGTGGCCAGTAAAATGCAAATTAGCAGCAATCACCACCCAAGCTTCGTCAAAAAAGGATCCTCAATTGTGTGTTCCTGTCTGAGGTTTTTTTGTTTTTTGTTGTTTTTTTTTTACATGCTGAACCAAATGTTTTGACCTTAGAAATTACTCGTCGTTATACTTTGTGTACGTCAGACATCTGATGGACTTCAAATAGCGGAATAAGCAAGCCCCGCCCACCGCTCTCAAATCCATTTCGAAGTCCCCGTTAACGTATGTGAAGCTGACATGAGGAAATCATTCGAGTCGGTTTTTAATGACAGTCTCAAGCTTGCTTCCCTTCAGAGGCCTGCTTGTCAACCGCTTAAGCTGCCAACTTAATTTAACCCATGTGCTAAATTTGTGGACTGTACATTAAAACTGCTTATGAGACGACACATATTGCTGTGTGACATTTAGGTTCATTTTCGCAGGCCCGACTTTGGAGTTATGTTCTCAAACTGCTTCACAAGCCCGTTTCCGTCCTGGATAAATTCACAGCGTCAACTGCGCAGCAGCCATCTTCATCATAGGAATGGAAACGATGTTTCCATTCAAGCCTATAAAAGCAGCTCCCTGTTTTGTTTTGTTTTTTTACAGACAACACCCTCTCTATGGAGGCTTTTATCCCCCTCCCCCGACTGCCGTCCAATGTGACCGGCTGTCAACATCGCCAAAATGCTGACTCCACACAATCCACTTTGAGTGGACTGTAGGGTAAAAGCGTCAGTGGGTGTGTCTCGGTGACCTTTGACAATGGCTACGCACGGAACATATGGACGCATGCGTGGGTGGAATCTCAAGGCAGTCGGACATGGACGCGCACAAAATAGCAGCGAGGATAACCTGAACGCCATCAGACACCTTTGGGGAGGGGACTTGTCACTCAATCATATCACCCCAATTTTTTTGCAATGGCTTGCAGGTTGTGAACATGCACTTTCCGTGATGTCAGCCTTTTTTTTAAACCCCAAACTGAGTCGAACTTTGTTCTTTTCAAGGCTAAAACTGGCTTTTAAGTGATGTCGTCTTCTCCGACGTTTAATCTTATTCGTCTAATTTTCTTTCTGCTATGTAAAGATGGGCTTACGCTGAACGACTTTCACAGTCTCAGACTAAAAACAAAGTCGGAAGGAGTTTTTGAGTTTGACTAGAGTCACTGTTTCGTGCACGGTGCTTAAGTCAGCTGTTTCTGATCAATTTTTTCCTAGTCTTGGCCTGACGTTTGAAGTTGTCAACATGTCACAAGTTTTTCAGTCTTTGCAGTGATGAGCTTAAACAAGACCGGAAACAAAAAACTACCAAGAGCATGATGGGGGGAAAATTTTAATTTGCGGGGGCGGGGGAATGCCGAAAGAATCTTGTTGTCGTCTTGTAAATAGTGACCCTGCAAAATTCACAATCTTTGTAAAATTTCAAGTCTGAGCCTTGGTTGCATTTTACCATCCCACATCTGTGTCTCCTGATGTCACTCGGTTCTGGTACGGTTTGTTTTTATAGGAAGTTCCCAAAGGTTAGCTATGACCAAGGTATCCGGGCGTAGGTTGGTCAGTAGGTCAATAGGGCAGTTAGGTGGTAGATAGTTTGGTCAGTCGGTGAATCGTTTTGGTGGGTGGGTTTCTCCAGGAAGTTATCACTGGTTAGCTTAGGTTGGTGAAGAGGTTTGGCGTGTTGGGGCGAGGGGGTGAGGAAATTATGGGGGTAGGTAGGAAGGTCTGTAGATAGCTTGATACCTAGGTAGGTATCTGATGGATGGACTGGTTCATAAATCTCGCACTATAAATTACAACGGCCGTTCTTATCTTTGTAAAGCGGTTATGTTCTAAATGTAGCTGGTGTACTGGCTGTCATTACATTTCACATTTATTCTTTTTCATTTGCTGTAATTCAACCCTTCAAGTACGAATCTAACAAGATAGCACTTTTAAGTCTTTAAAGGATTTACATTGGAGTTGTACACGAGGTAACTTGAGTGCCGTCCTGTCCTTCCCACCGCGCCCACGTTTGAGGACTACAAAATGACGTATAGAGGGTCAAATGTTCCATTTGAACATCAAAGTCGCTCGTTAAAGGCGTCGTAGAATTACGCAGCGAGTTGCATGTCAGTTACATGCTGTTGGACACAAAACTCACCTCCCGACTGTTTGGTTGGCCAGTTGCCTCATTCGGTTGAATTGTTTCTTCATCTTCCTCTCGCCCTCTTGTACGTAGTTGAAATGGGGGGGAAGTCAACCGCACCTCCGCGGAACTCTTTTCCTTACAGTGACTCCGAAAAAGTTAGGTCGGGGCCATTGATCCTCCGGGGGAAAAAAAAAAAACAAACAAACCCCACAATGGCACTCAGATGTTCCTCGAAGCTTCCGGAAAGACTTGAGAGTGAAAAGCAAGCAGCGGCGGACATAAAGCGGCGCAACTTGTGCCTCGAGCAGCTGACAACATGCCAGCGAGCACAAGGAGAGACTAAAAAGTTCTCGGCTGGCTCGCTGAGAGCAGAAGGAGGAAGTGACTCGACTTTCCGACCGTAGCACTCGCGCACGCACACGTGATACCGCCGCACGGGAAAGACACTTCATTAGGGACACCTCCTCCACAGACAATCCGAAAAATTATTTGGAAACGGTCTGTCTTGACAAATATCTTATAGGGCTAACTTTTGAGTGTGTAAAAAAATAAATAAGAATGAAATAATCACATTTTTTCCCGCACTAATCATAGCCACTGTCGCAGTAAAAAAAAAAAAAAAGTAAAATTTGACAACAAAAACTACAAACAAAAATGCTAAAAATAATACTGGTCAACATTTCAAGACAGAGATGCAGGTAAACTTCTCAAGATGTTTTTTTTTTTGCACTGATTCCAAATCTGCCCTCGTTTTTTCTCGAGCATGTCAGGTTTTCATAATAATAATACAGTAGTAACAATAATAATCAGAAGAAGAAGAAGGAGGAGGATTTTTTAAATTTTGACTTCAAGATGGCGCTGCGAGAGTGGCTGCCTTTCCAGCAGCTCGTATATTTTGTTCTTCTATTTCTTCCTTTCATAACTTTGCTGCTGTGAATTGGGAACGTCTCCATTGCGAGACTAATAAAGGTGTTCTAATCTAATCTAATCTAATCTAATGTTTAAACTCTGCTTGTGCTTGACGCAAAAAGTCTACATCTCTGTCAAGACATCTTTTTAGACTTTGTAGTTGTACTTAATGAAGCGGCCAGGGAGTGCGTATCTATAAAATCACACCTACCAAAGGTTACCCCGTGAGAAATTTCCTAACCATCGTTCTATTCAACATTTCCAGGTACTTCAGTCCTCCAGTTGATTGGAGATCACTTGGCTCCCCCCTGGCTGAGGGGTTTGCATCCTTCGTGCGCCAAGCTGTCCAAGCATGGTAAGAATGTTACACTTTCCATAACAATACGCTCAGTCTTTTCATAACTTTGCAGAACACAATAGCCTCAGGAATAGTTTCCTATCATAGCTGCGACACTCCTCTTTGTCTTATCTGGCCTCTTATTACAAGAGCCCGTCATGTAAAATCCCGACTGGAATTCCTATCTGTCGACCTCTGGACCTGTGCGGTTAGTCATCAGCGCCAAAGTGTTTTGTCCGTGGAGCGCATGCAGCCTCTTGTACTTTGCTACTCGGGTGATTAAGCTGATTTTAACCGTAGTGTTGGGCAAACTCTTGTAATCTTTGAACAATGTAGGGAGGTCGTGTGGAGTTGTGAAAATCACATTCCGAACTGGAAACGGAGGAGGCCCTCCCTCAGGATGCAAGTCATGAAACGTTTACGCGCGCCATCTACGGGCACGCTGTGGTCATTGCAGCTCATTCTGCTTTTCAATTCAAGCCTTTTCGTAGCAAGTTGTTTCAAGAAGCAATTTAGTGTGATCAAGTAAAACTTTGTTTGGTTTTTTTTTTACCAGGTTCCAAGACAAATTGTACTTGTTATATCTCATTAGAGCAACACCTCAATGACGTAACATTTTTGGTTAGCTTTAGGGACAAATTGCTGCGCTGGTCTGGAATGATTAAAAAATTTCATATTGCAAGCAGGTAAGAATGATACGCGGGCTCCCTCTAGTGTAGAAATGTGTAACTGACGGCCAGCGGGCCACCCTCGGAGTGGCCCCCTTGATTTAATGAAAAAAACAAATACATCAATAAATAAAAATAATAATAATTATTATTATTATCCATCCATTCATTTTCTAATCTGCTTAACCTCATGGGGTTCGCGGGCGTGCTGGAGTTTTTGTTTTAATTCAGCTGCCTAAATGCAGTGTGGCACCCTCTAGTGTCTAATTCTGAAATTGTCATTCAAATCTGAATGTTTTACTGTGATTCTCTCTGTTTATCTCTAGTGGTTAAATTCAGAAGGCCCTGAATCAAGGATGGTGAACTCTAGTGGTCGAATTTTTAGAATTGCAAATCCATCGATCCATTTTCCGATCCATTTTATCTTCACAAGGGTCGCGAGGGGTGCTGGAGCCTATCCCAGCTGTCTTTGGGCAGTAGGCGGGGGACACCCTGAACTCGTTACCAGCCAATCGCAGGGCACACAAAGACGAACAACCATCTATGCTCACACTCATACCTAGGGGCAATTTAGAGTGTTCCATTAACCTATCATACATGTTTTTGGAATGCGGGAGGAAACCGGAGTGCCCGGAGAAAACCCACGTAGGCACGGGAAGAACATGCAAACTCCACACAGGAAGGCCAGAGCCAGAATCGAACACCGCACCTCTGCACTGTGAGGCTGACGTAGTAGGACAGCTGGGATAGGCTTCAGCTCCGCGAGAATAAGTGGATCAGAAAATGGATGGATGGATGGATAAAGTCCAAAAGAGCATTCACTAAATCGAGTTCTCAGCCAGGTGCTTGGCATCTGCATGACTGATAGGAATTATATGTAAAAGTGTTTGTGGGTTGGGGGTATAAAATTCCTTCAATGGGTTGTCAGTTTGGGGAAAAGGTCAGTTACGTCCCACTTTCAACGCCAAATGCAAACCTGCGGTCAAAAGAAGGGCTATTGGCAAAGTTTCCAAAGCCAACTCGCCATCTTTCTCAATCTTTGTTTTGCAGCAGCTCAGTGTCGACCTTCTCTAGCAGTCGCGGTGAATGGCTGCTTGCCACCGGAGGGTCTCACGCTGTTTTCATATTGTACCCCCGGGCCTCTACACAGCAGTGGCCCACATGGGAAAGCGGACCAGGCGTCGGGATAAACCAATTACCCCCCAGCCAGGGTGGACTCCTGCCGGCGAGTCGATCGGCCGATTGGCGCTGAGGCCTCCCGGGCTTCATCCCCATGAGAGCCAGCTGGAATTCCCAGAGATGAGAAATTGGGAGGTCTCGAGAACCCGTAGAGAGGTTATATTTTAAGTTTGACATTTGGGGGGTTGGGGTCTCGGGAGGTGGCCCTCCAAGGATAATACAAGGGGAGGAGACCTCAACCCAGGCCTCATTTGGGCTAAAATAAGTTTGTTTGAAGCTTTGATTTATGTCCAGTATTGATGGGAATGTCTGTTGGGTTCGTTCATTTAAAGCAAAGGTGCGAAACTTAAGGTCCGGGGGCCAGGTCTGGATAGTATATTTGTGTCTACTTTCTTGCAAAATGGATTTGGTCTTTTCTTTCGGCTAGAATGTTTTGTCAGCAAAAATGTTCACAATCTAACATTAAAAATATATCACAAACTGTTACAGCAAATTCTTCAGAGTTATAAGTGACTATGACTTTTTTTTTTTGCGTGGCAGCGATAAGACGCTTCTGTGTGCTAAACAGCTATAATCCCTGCTATATGGTTAAAAAACAGCCACTGCATTCAATTGTCATCATTTAACGAGTTTTAAACTGAAGTCAAGGGACAATACAGTGGCAAACCGTCCAAATAAAACGAGCAGGCCGGTTCGGGCCTGCGGCCTTGCGTATGACACCGATGCAATAAAGGAATACTGTACATTATCGTTTAAAGGAGCACCTCAAAAACAAGCTGAGCTCCAGCTTGTTGGAATCCTGGAGCCGTAACGTTTTCCACTTGGCAGCAGCCGTGACAATGGTCATTATGTCTGCCGGGGGGCCTTGTCAGCGCGGGGCTATTGTGCGGGTGCCATTCACCACGGAGTCATTTACACTTTCATTGGCAGCTATTTGCTCCCCACAAAACATTCAACGCACCAATTTGTGAGACCCCCCTTACGCTGAGGAGAGGCGCGGAATATGTTGGCGCTTTTTAAGGCAATTAATTGTTCCCCTCGGGTGGGAGGGGCCCTGGGGGATGCGGGGCTTCGCATCTGCCCTTTGGGTCATCGCGGGACAAGATGTTGCAGGGACCACATGGCTCAATACCAAAACATCAGGTTTGCATTTGGCTCGACTATTATCACAAGAATGTCATTTCGGAGGAAAGATGAGACGCAGACAGAGAAAGGAACAAAAAGGAGCTGCTGTATTGATGTCAAGCCAGCACATTTGAAATCTTGTTTTTCGTGTGGAAAACATCAGGAAGGAAATATTAACAACGGTGCAAAATGGAAAACAGATGTTATTACACAATCAGTGGACTCTCATCCTCACCTATTTTCCAATTATTTTTTTTCATTTTACACAGTATTTACATCCAGAGAAAGAAATTAAATTGATCTCCCTATTATGCAAGTTTCTTTTTCCTTATGTCTCCAATGTCAAGACAAATACAGAACAAAATGCATACATTTTGGGTCGTCTGTAACACAACATACTGTAGATGTGCCAGGAAACAAAAAATATTTGATTTGCATTGATCATTCATATCTATTCCATATACTGTACTGGGATATTTAAGAAAATATACAATCTTGCAATGTGGGTGGGGGGGCTGAAAAATGGAAACAAAAATCCAGTACCAGTCCTCACAATTTTGTTGAAAATCACTCAAGTTGGACACAACCGTGGTGAAGGTAGCATCGTATCGACTGAGGGTGGTAATTCTAAATGGCTCAGGCAAGGCCTCCCCTCCCAACTCAGTTCAAAGGTCAATTCTCAGGTCAGTGGCGACGAGCGCAACGAGCTCGCTCCCCTCCCAGGGTGGACGCGGCAAAGGCCATACTGAGGTTATTTATTTCTATATATATATATATAAAGCTCTCCATTCATTTTCTAATCTGCTTATCATCACAAGGGTCGGGGGCGTCCTGGAGCCTATCCCAGCAGTCTTCGGACACTCGGCGGGGCACACCCTGAACTGGTTGCCAGCCAATCGCAATGTACACATAGACTAACAACCTCAGATGGATACAGAGATAGAAATACTCCCTGGACTTGCTTTTATAGCACTTGATTTGAACACATTTTACAAAAAAAATACAAATAAAATTGCACAAACATATAGAAACAATCTATTGAGGGACAGCAAGAGCAATGGATAGACTTGCTTTTATAGCACATCATTTGAACACATTTTACAAAAAAAAATAATAATTTTAATTGCACAAACATATGGAAACAATCTATTGAGGGACAGCAAGAGCAATGGATAAGACAAAAATATTGGACGAACGGCATAGCTGTCTCCTGATCTCGTACCAAATTCATTTCCTAAAAAGAAGACAAACTATTGATGCTGCGATTTCCTAAAAAGAAAAGATTGAAGCCGTTTATCTAAGCAATTGCGTATTGTTCCCGACTGTCCCCCAGTGTGAAATCAACACTGACCTTAACATGAAGGTACGTAACAAACCGCCCTTTTGTTGAACTGTTCTTGGACAATGTGGCCCGTGATGCAAACAGATTTGACACCCGTGAATTGTCACATCTCGACAGTTGACAGGCGTTATAACGGCCCGTCATCACAAAGGGAAATCGCAGGGATTCACAAGCCTGGCCTTGGCAGTCCGGTAGACGGACACGAAGTATTTGTAACGCGGAGCGCAACCCAACCAACCGTCCCCGAAGTGTTCCGAGCCCGTGAAAAGGAATTCTCCCTCTCCGGGCTTCACGCCGCACTGGAGGTGGGCAAGGATAACGCCGCGCCACAACGGGACGTCCCGAGCTGAAAAAATACAAATAAAATTGCACAAACATATAGAAACAATCTATTGAGGGACAGCAAGAGCAATGGATAAGACAAAAATATTGGGCGAACGGCGTAGCCGTCTTCAGATCTCGTACCAAATTTGTTTCCAAAAAAGAAGACAAACTATTGCTGCTGCGCTTTCCTAAAAAGAAAAGATTGAAGCTGTTCATCTAAGCAATTGCATATTGATCCCGACTGTCCCCTAGTGTGAAACCAACACTGACCTTAACACAAAGGTACGTAACAAATCATCCTTTTTGCTGAACTGTTCGACCGTGATCTCGGACGATGCGGCCTGTGATGCAAACAGATTTGACACCCGTGAATTGTCACACGAACGGCATAGCTGTCTCCTGATCTCGTACCAAATTCATTTCCTAAAAAGAAGACAAACTATTGATGCTGCGATTTCCTAAAAAGAAAAGATTGAAGCCGTTTATCTAAGCAATTGCGTATTGTTCCCGACTGTCCCCCAGTGTGAAATCAACACTGACCTTAACATGAAGGTACGTAACAAACCGCCCTTTTGTTGAACTGTTCTTGGACAATGTGGCCCGTGATGCAAACAGATTTGACACCCGTGAATTGTCACATCTCGACAGTTGACAGGCGTTATAACGGCCCGTCATCACAAAGGGAAATCGCAGGGATTCACAAGCCTGGCCTTGGCAGTCCGGTAGACGGACACGAAGTATTTGTAACGCGGAGCGCAACCCAACCAACCGTCCCCGAAGTGTTCCGAGCCCGTGAAAAGGAATTCTCCCTCTCCGGGCTTCACGCCGCACTGGAGGTGGGCAAGGATAACGCCGCGCCACAACGGGACGTCCCGAGCTGATCCAGGAGTTGTCGCCTCTAGCTCAAACACGCCGCTACGCTGCCGATGGACCTTCACCGCCACACC